CCCCCCCACCTACCCATCCTTTTCCCTTTACTCTCACATGAACCTTGCATTAACTGATCCCATCTTCTCTTGATAAGAATAATCAATTAATTTTTTAAATTTTTTTTTAAATTTTGGGTTGGGTTTTTTTTTTCAAATCAAAATCAAAAGCTAAACAGCGAACCCAAAACAATTTACAGTCATAAGCCCACATACGTTGCGTTATACAGATAAGTTCAAGCCAAGCCAAAAAACGTTCTCCAATAATTGATGTTATCACTAATGTTTTGCAATAGTTATGAAAACAAATTATGAAAAAAAAAGTTACCTAAAAAATAACAAAACTAAAAATGTCCAAACAGCTTGATAATAAGTATTATATCACGAAGTTTGATTATGCTGAACTCAATAAAAAACAACCAATCATTGAAGAATACGTTACCAAAGAATAACTTTATTACTTTCGTAACCCGAAATACTTGGGTAACGGGATATATTTTCCCCTCGTGTGAGGGTTGAAACATAATGGGCCGTTAACTGGAAAACAGGACATTGACATTATGTGCCAGAAACAAAACCACTTCACTGCTGAGCGGTCTCTAGAGTATTACAACTCGAGCACACAATCTCTTTTGCTCTGACGTAGTACGCAACTTAAGGTCCATAATGTGAGAAAACCGTTCATGACGAAAATGTATTTATTTTGAAATAATAACTGATGTAAGAGCTGAACTGTTACCAACTTTGAATGAGTTTTGTGTGTGTGTGTGTGTGTGTGTGTGTGTGTGTGTGTGTGTGTGTGTGTGTGTGTGTGCGTGCGTGTGTATATGTGTGTGTGTGTGTAATTGTCTCTGAGCGTTTGTATGTGTGCCTGTGTGTATAATATGTGTGTTTATGCGTGTGTCAGTAGAGTTTAAGTAATATTAAATTGTTTTCAATACATATCGACCATTTTTTGGTCATCTAATAGAATTGTATAATCTTCAGCTCCTACATTTTAATGTAAACTACATTTCAAGTTTATAGTAATGTCCAACACACCCTTATTGGAAAAACGTGAAAGAAGCTTGCAACAATATTATTTGTCGGGTCAAGTCAGGATTTTGGAATGATTTTTTTTCCCATGAAGGTAAAAAAATGATATATTAAACACCCCCCACTGTTATCTCAAATCCAAAATATTTTTTAGTATGGCTGTTTTACGCATCGACCTTAATTATATCATTTGGGAGGCGGACTATTTGAACCCTCCCTGTCTGAGTTAATATGGTTTAAGAGAGATGCTCGAGATACTCGATTTAATTCTCATTACACGAGAACTGAACTCAAGTCTTCTGCTTGCCATCACAGATACAAGAACTCATCTCCCAGTACTGCTTACAGGATTGGGGACGGGGGTTGGGTGAGGGTTACTGGCTTAAAAAATTCATTACAGAATTATCGTTAAAGATGTGCGGATACAGGCCATTTAGTCTGTGAAAGTAAAACTGATTATAGTTATTATTATTA